TCTTCTGGCACTAAAGATGAATAATGTGGATTCGTGATAATCCAGAGGAACAAATTCTCACAAGCTTCACGAGCATCAGATTGATTTGTGTGACTCACAGCTAAAGCCATTAGAGCGGATAAATTATCCGGTTGAAGTTGTAAACATTTCTTTAAAGCCAATATTGCCGACGAATCGTGCTCATTTTCAGCTTGACTTGTCCCCAAATATTGCCAATACAGCGCTTGTGATGGATCTTTTTGACAGGCTGCTTCAAAATGAAGCACAGCTGATGGTATATCACCTTCTTCCAGTTTTTTCAATCCTTCTGCGAAAGGATCAACAGAATCTTGATATGGATTGTTAGAGTTGAATTTATACTCTGTTGAGGATGCGGTTACCTCATTATCGGGCATAAATTCAGTTGGCAATTCGGTTATGTCAGGGATTGAATTCTGATTAAATTCAGTGGCCCAATCAGTAGCTAATGAATCCCAAAATTCTTGGTCATCGCGAACAGCATTATCTTCCCAGACTTCTTGAGCAGTTGCATACTCTTGGGCCCAAGCTTGAGATAAATTATCGGTATCATTAGAAATTATTCCTTCATCAGTTACTTGATACTCGCCACTGCCGATTTTTTGGATAAAATTGAGAAAGTCAGTGTTCTGGATTTCTGGGTCATCTCTCATGGACTCCACAAATTTCCTCGCCTCTTCAGGCAAAGTTGAAGTATCATAACTTTTTCGTGCAGTCTCGGCATTCCTAGCTTTTGCCTTTTCTTCTTCTAAATTTTTATGGAAATCTTCTAAGTAATCCTTGGCTGGTTTAGATCCTAATTGTGGTTGATTGAATAGACTGGTGGAAGGTCGGAGCATAGACATAAATCGTGGTCTCATGAAGCCGCCATTAAATCCAGGTCCACCTCTAAATGGTCCCCATTGTTCAAGAGAAGGTCTTTGAAATGAGTTGACTTGCATTGGTCTAATTGATTTAGATGATTTATCACTCTTGAATTGAGAAAATGATTGTTTCAAGATAGGAGCTGAAGAGGATGAGACCATGTTGGAGGTTGATGATGAAGATGCTGATAAAAAGTCATCCAGCCAACTATGACTGTTAGGAGCTACTTGATGATTATTGAGAGATAATTCTGGTCTGTTAATTGACTCTAGATTATTTTTATTATGAACAGGTCCTAAAGTTTGTAATAAAGATTCCATATTGAATCTTTCCGACCTTTCTAATTGTTCAGGAATAAGACCATTTTGACCATGTTCTGTCAAGTTTTCATTGTTCCATCCATGATTTATCTGAATTTTATGTATAGAATAAGGAAAAAAAGTAAAATTGTTTCGTTATTTATTGTTTGTTTACTTTTTGTTACTCAATTTGTCAGATGGAAAAATCAGTCAAGTTGAATTCAATAATGATAAAAATACTGATTTAGTGAAAAAAATTAATTAGCAGTCAACACGAGTACCACTTTGGTTTGACTACTGACACACGCTAATTAAATAAACCAATTGAGCATATACAATCAACTGGGTTAATAATTTTTGATAGTCGAGCAAAAAGACTATCATTTAGTTGAAAATATAACAGTTGTCATTTGAAATCAACAAAAGAAGGCGATAGATAGTCTAAGACTGAGCTAATTGAATTAATGATATAAAATAATATTATTAGTCAAATTAAGTAACAAATACATAAATGCATGTAATTATTATAACATTAGTGTTGGTGAAAAAGTTATTGATTGATTTAAAAAAAATAGTACTAACCTTGTCTGAATTGAAATGCTGGGTTAAATTGACCAAAGGATTATTGCCTCCACAATCCTTGTCCACAAGATTCCTTAATGCCATTGTTATAGATGAGTCTTGATAAACTGGTAGTAAAGTAATTGAAGTAAATTATTCAGAATAAAAAATGATAAATTCTGACACCGACAAAGGAAAAAACATATGATATGATAATATTGTTTGAACTTTAACTAAAGACATAAACAAATGATTGGATTTAACTGGTGATTAAATATTCTGTTTTCATTTAGTAGACGGATGAGCAACTTAATAAACAAATAATAATTGATTCAAATTAATTCAAACTAAAAGATCACTAGATTTTAATTATTCTCAATGTTAGTTATTGAGGTTTGCTAGCAAAGATAAGCTAACCTCCTAAAGTAATGACATCTAATGAGAAACTTTGCTATTTCTTCCACAATCATATGTTTCTCAGCGGCTTTTCCTTAAAACATGATTCCCAATTATTTGAATTATTATTTTAATTTATCGATTGTTTATTTTTGACACTTCAAGGTTATAATTTTTTGTTGAATTAATTTACAATTTGTTTTGAACCATCTATTTTAAATTCTATCCATTTTTTTACGTTGGTAATAATCATTGTTACGTACTCGTTTTTAGCAGCTGTGTAATTTAGTTTCAGATTAACTTTTGGTCTTCTAATTGAAAATGGTTATCTACTTTAAAAGTGAAATCGTTTCTCCGCCGATGGTCATTTACATGGGTGTTGACAAGTATGAAAATGAAGAACTGATAAAATGGGGTTGGCCTGAAGATGTTTGGTTTCATGTGGACAAAGTATCATCAGCTCATGTTTACCTTAGATTAAGGCCTGGTCAAACTTTGGATGATGTACCTAGTAGTGTTCTTGATGACTGTGCTCAACTAGTTAAAGCCAATTCAATTGAGGGAAATAAATGAACGATGTTGACATAGTTTACACTATGTGGTCGAATCTTAAAAAAACTAAATCCATGG